GATACAGTAGAAAAAAGTCCCAGTCCAAGAAACATCAAAAGTGGTCCAAGTGATAAGGGCAGTAGAAACAAAACAGATTTGCCAACCATCAAAAAAACCAAAAGTAGAAAAGTGATTAACGGTTGTGCCAAAAAGTCTTTCTCGTGGTCAGCAGCAAAACAATCTGTTGATAGATCAGAAACAACATCATCTTCTTCCGAGAACGAGACTTCAAAGAATTCCGAAGGTGCTTCTATTTCGCAGATTCTTCAACCAATATTTCATGGACATTCTCCAGCAGCGTTAGGCTTTATACCCGGACTTTATTTTCCAGGGACACCATATCCTCATTCTGCACTTCAGTCGTCTTTCTCAACACTACCTCTACAACTACAGCATACATACCTCGCCGCTGCAGCAGCACAGGCCACCGCAGACTCCACTTCCCCGCAACTGTCATCACATGCAGGGGCTATGGTCGAGTCCGACAGATCTCTTCAGTCAAAATGTAACCCAAGTGGGCCATCTTCTTCTTTCACCTCTTCAATAGCAGCTCTACAACCGTCCACTGCCCAGTGTGCCTCCAGCTCAAAAACCAGCGCATCAATGCACGATGACGATGACGATGCCTCATCTTCCAGAGCTCAATCTCCAGAAGACCTTAGTATCTCTGGAAAGTTGTCGAGAAAACATAGAAAAAACTACAAAAATATGACCCGTGAAAGACGAGTGGAGGCAAATGCCAGGGAAAGAACTCGGGTTCACACTATCAGTGCTGCATTCGATGCTTTAAGACACGCTGTTCCGTCCTACTCCCACAATCAAAAACTCTCTAAACTAGCCATTTTAAGGATAGCCTGTAGTTACATTATGTCTTTAGCTCGTCTGGCGGATTTAGACTACACCTCATCTTCAGAACATATTGGAACACCTCTGACCTTTGCCCAGTGTGTAGACATGTGTACAAATACAATACAGACTGAAGGCAGGGCCAGGCGCAGACATTGATCAAATGTTAGAGATATTAGATATTCCTTGTATGGACAAATGGTCGAATGTTTTGAATCAAAATTTGTGACGTTGGTTTAGAAAAGAGTAAATAAAAACAACACTTTCAAATGAACAATTGCATGGGAGGGAGGGGGTGGTAAAACATATTTTCTTACCTGAAGCATTTGGTAGGCGCCAGTCTCCATAAATTATGATTGAACAGGTCTTGGTTGCAATTAAAAAAATGATAGTTTCGTTTGCAGTCATGTGATTCATCTTTTGACATTACTGTCTCTATTATCATTTGTAATAAGAACTCATTAGTCAACACTCTCAATAGTTAGTACTAAAATGTATTAGAATGTGTATATAATTTATTTCTCTCTCCCCCCCTCTCTCTCTAAAATTCATAGACATACTTAAAATATGTTCTTCGCATTTGCCAACGAATATGTAACTGTTAACATAAGGCATCATCTTGAACTACAGATAAAGCTTGTAACATTTCTATCTATTCTTAGAGTTTAAAAATGACTTATGTTGTTTCATGAATGGAAGATGAGTTGAAGTATTAACTTTTGTTGTACATTTTTAACTGTTACATGCTGGCCTCTATTAGATGGTCCAGGACGAGTTTGAAGGAAGTGTAACTCTTTTTGAGTTGCATACATTACTTCAATATTTATCTTCTGGCATCTTTCTCTTGTCTTTTATCCTCACTATTTGATGGTGTATCATCTCACTATCTGATGGTGCATCATCTTACTATCTGATGGTTTGGTTTGGTTTTGATTTTAGGCACATCGGCACAATTTAGGCCATGTCATGCCTGCAGTCCCTTAAGGACTACTCTCTCTCTCTACATAACAAGGGCTAAATTCTATACAGTTAAATCATTAAAATTAAGGTCTATTCACAGTTAAAATAGTAAAGGTAGTAAAAATTTAATAATTTGCTTAAAATGTGTAAATAGTACATGTTCACAAATTCATAAATCAGATCTTCGTAGACAACCCCACTTCCCGGATGAAGCCCAGTACATCGTCGAATGGTGTTTTTAAGTTAGTGGCTCTAAAATATTTCTCCCTCTCAAGCTGGATGATACAATTGCAGTTTTATACAATTAATGAACAATTTTCGACTATGTAATACATTTATTCATAATTATGTCTAAAACCATCTTCATTGTTCTTGTAACCTCTTCTACGTCTCTATCTTTGACAACTCAAGGGCTTACAGTTTAGTATGTGTGTGTGTATTCCATAGTTTGTTATATGTGTGTGTGTGTATTCCATCAACAGTTCACATGAAGCAGCCTCCTCTACTTTTGCTTCTGTCCAATAACGTTCTTTTTTTTTTTTCTTATTAAGTTTCCGCTTGAAAAATCTTGTTGCTGAAGAAGTTGTTTCCCTTTTAGACCAAATGCCTTGAAGCATAAGTCCCACACTTCCTAGGCATGTCAGTTCAGCTTCTCATGGCGTCACTGCGTCGGTGAGTATGTTACTCTTGGCAGTTGTGGTGATCTTATTCGTACAAATACTGAATACTAATTGGTACAGCATGCATATCTGTCTGTTTCAAACGTTTAGGATTGTATGACTTTGACGTAAGCTTTGCTTTGTGTTGAAAAATGTTTTCTGATATGATTCAACTCCATCCGTTTCCAACAGTTTTAGTTGATCTGGTTGAGGCATTTCGTTTAAGACAACAAAACATAAGTTATTTGTTACAAAATTGCAGGAGAACATAACGAATAGCTTCCCCTGCCATTTATTTTTTTTTTGGAATTAGTTAAGTTGTACAAAATGTTCATAGTTTGTATCTTGCAACAGACGATGTAACATTGAATGCTAGAGAGTAAATAATGAATGCAAGAGATACGACAATATATGCCAATGTTAATTGTAAATATTTCAAAGTGTGTGACATTAAAAAGACTTATTTGTTAGGATTTGAGTATTACAAAGAATTTTCAAGTATTTTCTTTTCTCCTTTAGGACGCTTTACACTATTAACATGAACTCAGATGTTAGAATCACGAGCACATATTTATGTTTTAGGAAAAGCTGCAAGAGTTGTGTTCTAATAGTTGTACTGTTGTTTTTTAAAGCTCTTAACTTGTTCCCATTAACTTCAGATGTGTCAATGAGCCCACTGGTTGACTAAACAAACAACTGACTCTGACATCTCATGGACAGCCATGATCATACTGCTATAATGATACTCCTCAAACTGCTCCCCAGACTTATTGACACTTACTGTTTACTTAGATTTGAAATATTTTGTTCATCATTGGAGGGGAACGGCGGGGCCTATTTAGCCCAGGGACATTTACTGGACTTGAGCGTGTTAGAGAGAAAGAGATGATATATGGTAACCTCCAAGTGACTGACGGAAGACTTGGTTACAAGGGAGACACTGCCGCTTTATGGGACACTGATAGACAGTATTACTTGACCCGCCGATACATGCAAAGACACACACACACACATATATTTCTATTCCCACATCCACGTTTTGACTTTACAGTCACAGTGAGTATATAGGTATTAATGTGAACACAGACACCGAAACCCTCACAGACTTATTACTTTCAGCTACATATCGTATTACATTCTAAGAATTTTCACACACATACACACAATTATTACTACATTGAATGTAAAACTGTGCTAGTCATTTGGTACGATTTACTAAAACTTTTCAAAATTCCATCTAGCCCCCCCCCCCTCTTTCTTTTTCTTTCTCTCTTAATCACATTTTGAATTTTAGCATTATATCTAGCTAATGAGTCTACTAAGGTTAAAAACTATTCAAGTCACTATGCTAAACACTTATAATACGTTGAAATATATTTACCGATCTGAAAATGCATTGCCATTGATATTCTTATTTACTTATAGAATTGAACAAACTAGTTTATCTTGTTCTTTCAGGTGACAAATGAGACTTTTTTTCTTGAATTGGCTTTTTAAAAATGTCATTCACACTCTCATCGGTCTTGTTACCATGAGAACTCTTTCTTTTCTCGTGTCGTTACAACATGGAACGAATTGCCTGAATGAGTCCGAAAAAAAAATGTCTTAGAGTTTAAGTTTCTAATTAACATGTAGGGCGTACAACTAGGTGGCTGACCAATGACAATTGTAGACTGTAGGTTCCTGTCTCTACAACTAGGTGGTTCACCAGTGACATTAGTAGACTGTAGTTCCCTGTCTCACTTCAACTATGCAGACATTCCCATATCCAGATTTCATTCTCTTTCCCGCCAGGCTGACATGCGTGCCCAGCTGACCTGTGTTGCTATCACGATTCAGATGAGATTGCTAAAGATGTATTATTAGTCTGTTTGGTAGCCAGTTCTTACCTAAATCATGTTTGTTAGCTTCAAAGCTGGTAGTTGGCCTGGTCTAACACTTACTATTTGTGCTCAGCCATTGTAGTGGATACATGTTGATAGGTTCTCAGATGATCACTTGAGGAAAAATGCATAAAGAAAGATTGGCAAGTTAGGGTTAGGGAAACATTTTTACTGGCTTCATATGACGTCATTCTGAAAATTCTACATCAAAGTAGACTCTACATTGCACAGTCAAACTTTCTACTTAAAGCATTGGTGTAATGGTAGTATTTGAAAGATCTGATAGGATGACACAATAGTTTCTTTGACGTTCTTGACATATCCATTTAGAACCCTCTTAATTCCTCATTTATATGAACGTTCAGTTTCTTTGGTTTCTATAATGTATTCTTCTCAATGCTATGCAAGTCCATTCAACATTCAAGTAATTGTATGTGGTCACATAGGTTCAGGGAAATGATTTAGGGTATGTGTGGTGGTAAGAAGTGTGGAGTCATAAACTAAGAAATGATTGCTAAACTGGACTCTATGTGGAGGCGGATTTTTTTGTGAAGCTTCTTATCCTTTTTCGAGCTCTTCTTTTAAAAAAGGCACTCACTAATAATTGTTACCTATTCCCTGTACTTCTATGTTTGATCCTGTACTTCTATGTTTGATCCTGTACTTCTATGTTTGATCCTGTACTTCTATGTTTTGATTTGTTCAGAGTTCTTGTACGTTAATCTCATTTTCCTTTATTTGTATATTTAATGTACACATTTATTTGTATATTTAATGTACATATTTATTTTTTTACAATTGTATATATTTGACCTAGCATTGCTGTAAATCTGGCTCTGGTGGAGTATGAGCACATTGTACATACTAATGAACATCTAACTTTGACACAGTCCTTTCCCCAAGTATGTTTTCTACTGTGTATCTGTGATTAAATGAAAAATTGTAATAAATTCATTGTGTCACTTGACGTGTGTGATACATTGTAAAGATGGTCAAATTTTTTTCTGGTTTTGCTTTTGGTTTCATTTTTACTCTATTCTTGGTTTCATTTTTACTCGTATGTATAGTATTTGTAGATGCATATTGGCTCCTGTTTTGTGTTAACTTAAATTGAATGTATATCAAAACTAGATTTGACTCACCAAAGAAGAAAGGCAATGACGTCACGCTATGATGCAAATTTTATATTTTAATTGCTTAAAGTGTTTACACAAATTGCTTGGTGCTCTCCTAAGATAAAAACGTCAGGCAACATTAACAGGGGAAATGTTTGAAAAATAAACATTCGATATCTAGTTCCTTTTGCAACTTCTTGTGGGACTAAAGAGACCAATCCTTGAGCTGCTGTCACAGGTTGGGCATATGTCATTACCAGGTGCTATTGCATTTTCACCTTTCTTTCTACCAAAACTGAAGTTAAATATATCATTCCAGAAGACCTGACAGATGAAAACAACCCAATAGCTGCTAATAGCAATACTTTATCTAGCATGTATTTTACCCCAGATGTGGGTTTTTTTTTTTTTTTTTTTTTTTTTTTGCTATTGAACTTGTAGTATCTTAGGTATCCGATTTTACCGGGACATAGTAACATAAATTAAAGTAACTAACCCTTATATATATATTCCTTCATTATGAACATAAATAGTTACAATTCATATTTAAAATTAAAAAATATTGAAATTACTTAGGTCTACAACTAGATCCGTGTTTATATAGCTCACAGACTAGGTAGTCTAAATAGGCTAGTTCAAAGGTTCTCAAACTTTTTTGACCCGGGGACCTCTTAGTTAAAAAGTTAGATAAATGCATATTATATAAGAGACAAATGTAAACAAAAAAATACAATTATTTCTGTCGATGAAGTTTTAGTGAATTATAACATTTGTTTAAAAAAAAATAACTTGGAAGATGGTGATGAAATTTTATGAGCATATGTATGCCTGCCTCAACGAGCACACATTTCAAGTCGGTTTCTTTGAGATGAGCTTCATTATGACAATGAATCCATGTTGCACTAAATACATTTAAAAAAAGACGAGAAGCAGTCAACAACCTATTTACAACGAGCCATAATGCGGGATATATATTTGGAAGATGTTTTTGTCACCAGACTTTGTGGTCTCCGTGTTAACACATTGGCTTACGTTCCTCGTTTGTGGATATTTCAGTAAGCTGCTCCTTCTTTAGTATGAATTCATCTGTGATTGGAATCTGAGTTTGTCCCTGTTGGGAATATCCAAGTGAAGAATTTTTAAAAAAATCTTTGGTTTAGTTCGTCTTAGAATAGTGCGTTATAGCGAGACCAACCGTTATAGATGGCCTGAACACTGACCTGCGATGTCGCAACCTATGGACCGTTTAGACCAATGGCGTTGGACCTGTGTCAAATTTTCAAATTAATAAATTATTGGTCTAATCTGCCTACAGGATTCGACATCGTAGATCATTGTTTAGACCTTCTATAAAGATTGGTCTCGGTTACAGAAATATTGAACAGTGGTAAAGAGCGAGTTGATTATTATCAAATTATCTGATCGGTCGGTCGTCTCGCGGATCCCTGGGGGTCCTTGGACCACAGTTTGAGAAAAATTAGTTAGCTGAATAGTTGACATTTCACTAAAAAAAGTTTTATTTGAGATAAAAGCTTGATTCTTTCTCAAGTAGATCTATGTCACTACTTTTATTCAATTCAATTATTTATAGGTATAGACGATATGGTGATGATCGCGTGGTGATCTCTATAGGCTGTTGGTGATATCTTCCTTTATTCACTTATATAAACATCGTCAAAAATTAAAAAGGGGGGAGGGCAGGTTCTACAGTTGTGTTGACATATCAAAAACTTTCGCTGCCAACTGTCAAGTTTTCATCCACGACGTTTCCCTTTTCTCTAACCTATGAAACAATTCATTCACTAGAAGCCTAACCTTTCTTTTCCTAGTTAGTAGTTGCCTGCAAGCAACCTGTGGACACATAACAAGTCTGGTAACAGCTGACTCAAATAATAAATCAATATGAGAGTTTGAAACATTCTGATTTTTATCTTGAGCTACAGCCGGTCAACATGGAGTTGTGTCTAGGCCATAGCAGGAATAGAACATCAGAGAAGCAGCCATAGAAACCAGATTGTTTGACGTTGTATTCTGCAATGTCAAGATTGTAGTAAAATACATTGTTTCAGCTGTCATACAACATCATTATAGTCATGTAGACAATGTCAAGTAGTTGTTAAACAACATCATTATAGTCATGTAGACAATGTCAAGTAGTTGTTAAACAACATCATTATAGTCATGTAGACAATGTTAAGAAGTTGTTATACAACATCATTATAGTCATGTAGACAATGTTAAGTAGCTGCTATGCAACTGCAAAGAAGTTGAAAGGAAGTTGTTTCATCTTCTTTTGGTTGTCGAAATCTGTAGACTTTTCACTTATAATATAAAAGCTTGACAGGTCAGACAAACTTTGGTGTGCTCAATGTTATTTACTGATGTTATTTGGGGGCCATATCAGTAACAACCTTTATTTCCTAGCTGCTGCCAGGTGCAATATCAAAAAGCAGAAATTACACACACACACACACAAATAAAAAAAAAAGCAACAACTAAACTAAAGCTGTATAACAAATGGTTGATAGATTTTAACAAGAAAAACCATTAAAAAAAGACCATACTGACATTATACAACTTAAAATAAAATTTAAAAAAAAAAACAAGGTTACAAAGACAGTTTGTGTGGAAACACAAACTCAAAATCGGCCCCCGAAGTGGTCCACCCAGGCAGTTAAAAAAAAGCAGGTTTCAATATTTTTAGAAAGACAAATGACAGAGAAGAATTGAAAAAGTAGGTTCACAAGAGCTTGTGTGGTGCCCCAGCGGTCCAGCAGACCAAGGAATAGGTGAATGTGAAGTTGGAGGTGAATCTGGTCTAACTGATGTCTTGTATTGAATATCTAATTGATCTAATTGTTTTGTAAATTGTCAATCTCTTATTCAAATCCTCAAGAAAAAGACATTTATATAACAGCCACAGTGTTACACTGCAGTTCACGCGGTAATATGAAAAACTACTTATTAATGGTTGTTTTAAATTATGTCCAACTTATATGCATATTAAATACATTTTTTCTCTTTAAAAAAAGATACACATTTTAGCATTATATCTAGTTTATCTATCTTGAGTCTACTAAGATTAGAAACTATTCAAGTCACTTTGCAAGAAACTTATAATACGTTGAAATATATTTACCGATATGAAAATGCATTGCCATTGATATTCATATTTACGTATAGAATTTAACAAAACTAGTTTATCTTCATCTTTCATGCACTGGCGGATCGGGGGGGGGGGCGGTAGGGGCGATCGCCCCACCCCCTCTTCAGAGAACAGGGGGGGGGGGGCGGACGAATTTTAGTATAGAATTAAACACAATTTGTATACGAATTTATTACTTATGTAAATAATATATACTAATTATTTAAATTTCAACTTTTTTTTAGATTATTTCGCCCCCCCCCCTTCTAGTATGTTGGCTGATTTAATGGGGTCGGGAGGGAGAATAGCATAAATGCCGCCCCCCTTACATAAACTTTCGAGTGGGGGGGGGCGGTCCAATTTATTTGTAGAAATCAAAGCTTGCTAACAATATCAATTAAATATCTATATGATTAAAACTTGTTATTAGTGTTTTAACCAATCTTTATATTATGTCGTTCCCCTGTTGGCCAATTTGGGGGGGGGGCGAATACTTCTACTGCCCTTCCCACCTAAACCCTTTGAGTGGGGGGGGGGGGGAACGGTCCTACTTTAATGGGGAAATCATAGTTTGTGAGCAAAATTAGTTGAATTAAAATATAATGTTTATATGATGTCGCTCCCTTTCTGGTATCTTGGCCGATTCGGTGGGGTGGGGGAATTGCATATATTGCCCTCCCCACTCTAGCCCTCTGAGTGGGGGGGGGGCGGTCCTATTTTTATGGAGAAATCATAGTTGGTGAACAAAATAAATTGAATATCTATTAAATATAAGCTACATATTGATATGTGAACCCATTGTATATTATGTCGCACCACACTCTAATATCAAATTTTATCATTAGTAAATATAAAATGAAAAAGGGTTGTGCCAGGTGGGAGGGGCGATTCATGCAATCGCCTTCCGCCCATCGGACAAAACAATACTTTTTCTTTTTTTGTTTTATAGTTAAGATATTACAATTTAAAAAAAAGATCTGTCACATATTTATATATGCTATAAAATAAATTCTTATATCGAGTCCCACCCCTATTCTTTAATGCCAAATGCAATCATTAGCAAATATTATAAAAAGGTGCGAGGATTAATGGTTTTCTCTCTACCGCCCCTCCCCTTTCCAGACGAAAAAACGATGTTTTAAAAAAGAAAAGTCAAATATGGCGACAGACGTTGATGTCATGTCATCATTTTTTATCATCATTTTTTAACGAAAGACTTTGCTTTGGAAAATTTGGAATTCATACCAAATTTCTCAGTAGAAGAATAATGATTGAGATGAGTTCTCAACACAAATATTCTTTTCCAATCCGCCTTTTTTCAATATTTACTCAATCTGCAATTTTTCTAATTAAATTTGGGACTATAGCTCACAATTTATGTTTGAATCCTAAAATTGCAAAAAAATTTAGAGTAGAATCTAATTGGCCTACTTCATTTCTCCTCCCACTTCAGAAATTTTTTTTAGAGCTTTAGATTATAGTTCTGTAACAAAACAAAGTTACAAACATGTCTATTGAAATAAATGTATAACTTACAAATGAGCTTTTTTTTATGTAAATATTATTTTTCGAACTTTTGTTTTCGGCGGCGATCCTCAAAGCCATAATCTAAATATGTGGGGTATCGTCTGATCGTTTTATTTGCAATGTAGTAAGGGCCTATAAATTCATATTAGAATATTTTTCAAGTAAAACATTTTTAAAAAGTTCCTTTTTTAATAGTATGAATAAT